TAATTTTTTTTTTTTTTTTTTTTACATAATTTTTTTTACCCCCTGATTTTTGTGGCCATTTTTTTATGTTACACAGCAGAAAAAGACTTAGGATTTAAGGTACTTCAGGGTTTGGAAAGAAAACATATCACTGCGCCCCCAAATGGCCAACTTCAACAGTGCATGCTAATTATTTGTGTGTGTGTGTGTGTGTGTGTGTGTGTGTGTGTGTGTGGGGGGGGGGGGGGGGGCTTTGCATTGTTGTAAGGTTTACGCTCAAAACAACAACAAAAAATGCATATAAGGAAAGAAAACAATCTTAATTTAAACAATCTTAATAAATAATCTCTGAAAAGTTTTAATATATTACGCTTTTTGAAAAGTAAGTATTTCAATATTATACTTAAAAAAAGAAAAGATTGTGATTAAGAAAAAGTTGTCTTGCAGTGAATGTGTATTTGTGGCAGTGGGAGGTTGTTTTGGACGGGAAGCCTCTCTGGTCTGTCCCAACAGCGTGGGGATTTGGTGGTTTGTGCTGTAATCGGATTGGTGTGGGGGGTTAGTGGTTTTGGTACGTGACATGGCCAGCCGAGACCATCCTCCCTCCCCCTATTTGTTTCACTATAATCCTAGTTGTAGGAATGCTCACCAACACACTTGATGCACATCAGCACCTGCCATTAGAAGAAACGACACTGAAAAAACACAATAGCAGCTTCATCATATGATGCATGTGCATTGCAGCGGTGTGGTCGGCTTCTGAAATATTTGCATTTGGGTTTTTTAGCTATAAATAAATTTTCCATTTAATGTTTACTTGCTTTCAATTCATAATCACTAGGCTAATATAACATTTCTGTCACAATACAAAAGTAATCAAGTGTTTCTACCTTATTTTCAGACCAGACAGTGCAGGCGCTGTAATCACTCCAGGTGTAATGAATGTTGCAGACACTTTAGTTTAACTTTGCTGAGCTCACTCGCAGATTTCATTCAGATGTGACTAACTGCGTGTTAGAAAGCAATCCGTTAACATTCTCATTGATCTCAATAGGACTGATTCGTGGTGTTCAGGGCAAAGCCAAGGCAAAGTCCCTACTGTTTAAAAATAAATAAATAAATGTAAATTCATATTCATGTTATGCTTAATGTTGACACTTTTTTAAGGTTAAATAAATGTTACTCACACTATCAAAAAAAAATCAATAACAACAACCAATAAAATTATATTTTGTATTTTTACAGTAACAATTCAATTCATGTTCTATTTAATGAAACGACGTATAAAGATAGTGCTTATTATCATAATTATTCCATAATGGATACTTTATACCTGATGTTCACCTGTTCTACTTAATAGTTAACTTATTTTCGGATCATCAGTCATCAAGACTCGGATCTCGTAAACACTGCAGGTCACAGACTGAGATGTAGCCTACTTTTAATTTCACCATACAAAACTGATCGCTCACTAAAAAAAAGCCCTTACAGGTCGTTTTTGACGTGACAAAGCGGTGATATCTGAGTGGGTGAGTTGTTTACTTACTTTTTATTTGGTCTTGCCATTAACATAAATTTCTTCAGACTGATTCTCGGACGCGGCACGAGCACTAAATTGAGAGGCGCGATTTTCCCCCGCACAAACAGTGCAATAGCCAATCATAGTGCGATGGAGACTTTACCTCCTCTCACGTGACTTTTCCAAATTAAGCCATCATGTGTTTTTTTTTTTTTTTTTTGTGTTTTTGTTTTTGTTTTTTGTTGGTGAGTTGTTAAAACTCAATGGGACTTAATGCGACCAGGGGAGGCAAGATAGACTCTTCCTGTTTAACTTTCACCGCTGGTTTTGCTGTTAACAGTGCACACTTTATGTAATATTTCTTAATTTTTGCGTTGTAGTAGTTTTCTACTCATCCAGTTCTTTGAGGAGAAACTGCCTATCTTGCCTCCTCGGAGGAAACCCTATCACAGCTGGTCAAGTACTTGCTACTACGCCTATACAATAATTAATAATTTCTACTTATTAAGTTGGTTTTGCAACTGGGCAGAGTTTATTCTTTGAACAGACATTATACTGAAACTCATACTGACATCTTGTGGACAAAGCCAAAAATGACAACATATGTGCTGTCATTTTTTCTGTGCCCCAGGCCTTTTCGGGATGGTTGCACATATGATGTTCACCACAGCTTTCCAGCTGGCTGTTCAGCTGGGTCCAGAAGACTGGAGACCTAAGACATGGGACTACAGCTGGTCCTATCTGTGAGTCTCATGTATGACACTTTGCAAATAAATTTGCCAGCAGACGTACATTAATAATTGTCAAGCCAGATGCACTAGCAGGATAGTTGAGCTTATAGACTTGAAAATGTCTTTTGCACAAATACATCAATTCTCTACATACACTAAGTAATGTGAACTTTTATTCATTATTATATATACAGTCAAACCAAAATGTATTCAGACACCTTTAACATTTCTGACAATATCACAGTTTATTCGCTATAGTTTCGAAAATGGTAATAAAATATGACATGAACTCAGAGTTATCAAATCAGTTGATATTTCACTGGTTTTGTCCATCCTTCTGTTAGACTGTCTCACAAATGAAGTCGGTTGAATAGCTGTCAGCTGTTAAATTTAAGTACACAATTAGATAATACCAATTTAGGTCAACCAATTAGCAAGCAATGCTTAATTTTGTTCAGTATGTGGTGTAAAAAGGTCGCATTAGCAATTAAAGAAAAAACACTGAAGCAAAACATGGTCAGGTCAAAGAGTGTGAATAATTTTGGTCCCATTTTTTAAATAAATGTTACTGGTAGTCCACTGTATAAAGAATTTTTGGGTATATGTCAGTTTACTTCATTTTGCTATCCTCATTTACATAAATTAACTATAGTGTCCTGCACCCACAAGTAAAATTTTTATATATATTCTTTTTTTATCTGGTGTCTGAATAATTTTTGTTTTGACTGTATATACCAGTATTTATTGGTATGCATCAACTACAGTACATATACAGTATGTATCAGTTATGTTTTACTTTTTTTTTCAGTAGTAAAATAAAATGAGAAAAATAGAATATTAAATATGATCTTCTCTCCACTTTTTCTCAGTCTGGCATGGGGCTCGTTCGGCACCTGCATGGGCTCGGCGGTCACGGCATTAAACCGCTACACCAAAACCATCATTGAGTTTAAGTTCAAGCGGAGGACCATTGAGAAGAAACTGCGCATCAAGCAGATTCTGGAGCTGGACGCGCCAGAAGACTTATGGTACATCACTTCATTACAAGAGCAAGCAGACCAACACGCGGCTCTGTATGTGAATGGTACCGAACCGTCCTGCATCAACTCCACAATACTGGACAATTGGGGCAGAGCATACTGCTGAAAACTCATGAAGGACACTGCTCCTCTTCAGCACAGACATTTGTGTGCATTTATATCCTAGGGCTTCTGTCAACAGAGCAGGATGTGGACTAACGTGGTTTTGCAGTGCCACAACTGTTCTGACAACAATCGCTGTGCTACCGTGAACCTTGTTCATATGCTGATAACTGAGGTTTAAAGTAATGTTCTGAGTTTAAAAAACAAGCTCTATCGACAACCAAATTTGACTGTTGTCAGTTCTCACGGGAGATAATTCATGCTGAAACAAGGCTGACATTCTTGACAAAAACATAGTTTGACATAATTTTGAATTAGTATGGACAGGTCTTATTTTTATGGAATTTTGCAGTATTTATAATAATGGATTTGTCCGCGCACATCATTATTAGAATTCCCATGCGCTCTCTTTAATGATAATAACTTCAATTCATTGTTCCTCTTATAAATATACACTATATGGACAAAAGTGTTGGGACACCCGATTGAAACAATTGAATGAAATAATTAAGAGGTGTGTCCCAATACTTTTAGTGCATATGGGAGCTAAGCTATATGAATTTAAAAGGAAACTATTTTATGTATTATGGTTTTTAATCAAAAAGCAAGGTTAGTTCAAATGGAGTAACTCCAACGCTATTAAAGCACAAAGCAAAAATATTTTCTGTGATGATTGACAGCATGTCATATGTACTGTCATTAGACTTGTTCTCTAACCCAGAGTAGCCTATTATACCATGCATTGTTTGTTGTTATATATATTTTTAAACATTTAAAAATTGATTAATGCATATATATATTCATTTGAAATGTCATTATCATTATGAACTTTAAACCACAGAGAGCTACGGACGCCATCTTCTGGACCAACATTTCAGTGCCTCTGGCAGAAATAAGACTCCTTTAATAAAACATGCTCCAGTGCCACATTTATTACACACTTGTGTCAATGCCAACCATCTTGTATGTGCACTTGTTGTAGGATGAGTGAAATCCCTCAATCTCTTATGAGGGATTCTGGATTAGTTCTTCTGTCTTTGATGGCACAGAAAACGGTTGAATTTTACTTGTATGTGTGGTGCATGTTGATGAAGCGCTGCTTATTAAATGGTTAATTAATATAAAAATGACATCTGTCATCATTAACTAACATTTTCTTATTACCGTGATGCGTCGAATTTATGATGTGTTGGTCTGATTGTTGTTTACAGAAAGATATTTTTGATAGTATGCATGAGTAGCCTATAAGAAATGTGATGGATGTGATAGCATTGATTAGATGTCACAAAATTATGTTAATTACAATGTGGTTTTGTGTATATGAAATATTTTTCTCTGTGCAGCTGGTGACTTCTTAACAGACTGAGTTTGTGTGTTTCAGTTCTGAAAGAGCTCAAAGGAACATCATGATTTACATAAAGCTGAAATGATGAGGCACATTGTGCAGGTGTATCCTGAGAGAGAGTCATGCATGTCTATGAAAGAAAATGCAAACAAATGCCTTGTCAAAGAATAATTTCAAAACCAAAAAGTACAGTCATATTAAATGTCAGATATGGAGTCACAAAATTCAAACAATATAAAAAGGAAATAAAGAAAACCATCTGTCATTTTTATTCAGACAATATTTCAATAACACTTTGAGTTTGAGATACTTTTCTTAGTGAATTTTGAGCCCACTGACACTTCACATGAGAAATCCACGTTATCGGTCCAGTCCGAGGAGTCGATGGTCAGAGAGCTGCTCATTTTGAAGGTTTTGTCTTGTTGTTTCTCTACAGAAATATCCTCAGCCAGACACACAAGTGTAGCTTTACTCTCCTTCAGAGCCTCAGTGGATGGAGGCAAGAGTGTCAGAAGAACAGGAGGAGCCAGAGGAAAGTCTGGAGAATTCATGACAGAATATTGCATTGTATAAATATATGGCTTGGAACAACATGAGGGTAAATGACAAGCCTTTAAAAACCTTTAATGTCCCCACTGTGGTGAAAGCCTGTTCTTCGGCATTGCTTTTAATCTCTTCATCCTGGTTAGGGTCACAGGCAATCAGGATATTTCTGGGAAATTGGGGATCAAAGCTGTCAGGGCAAAGCCGGTTAGCTCAGTTGGTTAGGGCGTGGTACCGGCAACTGTTTTACTCTCTGGGACCTTCAGCTCTGCTCATCTCACAAGTGACGGGCAGCCTCCCAGAAATCTCTAAAGATCTAATAGTCCCTGGTTCAATCATGAACCATGTCCGTGTGTTTTTGGTCAAAGGGGTCCGCAGTGACTAAATGTCTACCTCTTATCTACCTGAATCCACCTAGCCTCATCGCTATCTGCCTCTCAGTTGGCCAACGATCAGGATGTGATGTTGTAATGATTTGCACTTTGGACTTTGAATCCAGCAACCCTAGTTCAAATCTCGGTGGAACCTTCATAGCTTTTTTGCAGAAAGGGCTGAAAAACAGAGGTGATGAGCAACTGCTGATGTACCTGTAAAGTGGCGGAGAAATCGGCAGTCTCAAACCGAGACTCGGGGATCGGAATCGGGGAAGCGTTTCGCTATCGGTCTTCTAGGCTAAATTACTTAACTCTCTGTACTTCTAGGCTGAATGACTTAACTCTTTGCTGCACGGTGAGAAAGGGCATTACTGGTGAGGTTCAATGGTGTAATGGTTAGCACTTTGGACTCTGAATCCAGTGATCTGAGTTCAAATCCCGGTGGGACCTGCTTTTGCCAGGAATATCCCCAGGACCCCATCAGAAAAAAAAAACTTTTCGACAGCATTGAGTCTCATAAGCTCATCTAAGGAGCTCCCCTTGAAGTAAGCGTAAAAAGGGCAGAACACCACATGGAGAATGCGAGCATTGATCCCGCTAGTTCTCGCATGCTAAGCGAGGTCTCTACCAATTGAGCTAATTCCCCTCAACGGTGAAGAGATGGTGTTCATCTCTCTCAAAGACAGCGGTGAGGAGCGATCCCTAACATGTGTACAGGTGCTTCAGGGCGATTTCCAATAGCCACAAAGAAAATTAAGAGACCTTATTTCATCTGTGCTGACAACTTTGCACTGGCTACCGTTTATCTGTAGATTCAATTAAAACTTAAACTAAATTAAACAAATTAAACAAATTAAAACAAAAACGCGGTTTGAAATCACTGGTTCTCTTTCATAGGTTCACTCAACACTGTCTAGCTGAAACGCAGTGGGAACGCCCTCTGGGTGTGCCGATTGTCTGAAGCCCATATAGAATCACGCCAATTATTTGTCTGATGGCGCGGGCGCCGCCTTGATGCTCTTACGTCGTCATAGTATATTGGCGCACGCGGCATCTGCTCCTCAGATTTCTCTGCCTTCATGAAGCGGCCATTCTAGCCCTTCGTTCTCGATTTTTCTGGCCCAAATATTCAGATTTTAGCATCAGTATTCTTCATACTTCAGCGACTGCGAATAGTGGAACTCAGTTCTCCTTGCGGTGAAGTGCCATGGAATTTTTCGCATGCGCGTGAGGCTGTTCTAGGTTTGTCAAAATGTACCTTTTTTTGACAATCTACTTCTCAAAACCCTCCGCTCTAGGCTCGTGGTTTTTGAGAAAGAGTCATCCGCTCCCGAGACCGCCGACGCCTCGTGGTGATCCGCGAGCTGAGGTTCGGATGTAGAGCTTAAGGGTATGGAGTATGAGCAGACGGGCCTCTCCCTTTCTCTCCCTCCCTCTCCCGAGCACGTGCGCGGCATCTTGCCAGTCGAGTTTTTTCATGATTATTTATGCCCTAGCCCGGAAGTGTGCGAGGCGGTTTCTTTCGGGCTGGAGGATGTGATTTACATTGCAGCGTACGACTCTGAGGATTTCTGGCCTGTTTTAGTTGATGGAGGCCAGGAAGTGCGGCCTACTGCGGTCCTACACGGAGCTTATTGATGTCCTTTCACGCACACTAAAGAGAAGCTCTCTATTGACTGGCCCGACGAGCCCTGCGAGTCTCAGTCATCTAAACTCGACGAAAGATTTTTAAGTGGCCCTAATTCTAGGCCGGAGCGGAGAAAGTTACCCTTTTTCAGTGGTCTGCATAATGAGATCTCCAGATCCTGGAAGCAGCCTTTTTCAGCCCGTTTGACTAATGCGGCAGCCGCTGACTTCACCAACGTCGTTGGTTCTGTGGAGCAGGGCTACTCCGCCATCCAAGCGGTCGAGGACACGCTGGCTACTCACCTTTCTCCATCGTCGGTCTTTATCGTGGAAATCTCGCCCCCCTCCTTCCCTCTAAACCATGCAGGAAAGTTCTAAATGGCAGCTGGTCAGGCAGGCATGGCCCTTCACACTATGGCAATCCTTCAAGCCTACCAGGCGGATGTTCTAAAGGAGATTGACGAGGGCACTGGCCTAACGCCGGAAGCTGTCAAGCAGCTTCGTAAGGCCACAGATCTGGCCTTAAGAGCCACCAAGCACACCGCGCGTGCTATAGGTCGGTTTATGGCGGGCGGTTGCTGCAGAGTGCCACCTGTGGCTCAACCTCACAGAGATCCGTGACAAGGAGAAGGTTTTCCTCCTGGATGCCCCAGTTTCTCAGTCTGGACTGTTCGGGGAGGCGGTCAACACTGTGGTTGACAAGTTATATCCGCAATATCCCAGTCTGCCGCCTTCAGGCAGTTTATGCCCAGGAGGGTTAGGGAGTCGTCTAACCCCTCCCCGTCTCAACCCAGAGAACCTCCCTTTCACAGGAACGAGTTCACCACAAGGAGGAGTGACCTGGCTCATCCCCCACCAGCTATGGTTTGGGGAGCCCGCGGTCGCCCATTTCCCCGCCAGCGACCTCATAGGCGTCTTGAGCTGAAGCGGTCTAACAAACCTTCCGCTCCAGCTCCCTCAAATCGCTCCTGACCCTCAGTTCAGAAAAAGGAGAGCTTTCCCCGACTTTCGAAGTTGGGACCGACTGCTCAAGCGTTTCTGCCCACCTCTCACTTGCTCTCCTTTTCCAACTCTGCCACTTTCGCAGCCCAGCACGTTTTGAAGTGCAGTTTCTGTTCAACCTCGTTCAAACCTTCCGGCGCGGGAGGAAAGATAAGCTTTCTCCCCTCGCCCCTGACGTGTTTGATACCTACCGCTCACATCTTCTGAGACACGTTCAGTTTTCTTCAGGAGCACATGAGACATTTTCTTTGGTGGATGAAGCTCTCAGGGGCCCGATCGACAGGACCGGCTCTTCGCCTGTTGAAGGTGTTGCGCAGTTGCTCCCGCGCCCTTTCAGTCTGGCGGGACCCCCTCTTCCTTCAGAAAGGGGTCAGCATGGGCTCTGTTTGTCAGTGGATTTTCTGTCGCGGCAGAAGCTCAGGTCAGGGGAGTGGATGCTGAACCGTCAAACAGTAGCCCTGATTTGGGACGTGTTCGGAAAAGCGGAAGTGGACCTCTTTGCATCACAGGAGTCGTCCCAATGCCCACTTTGGTTCTCCCTGAGCCCCCCAGCACCGTTGGGAATAGATGCATTTGCCCACCCATGGCTGATGCAGAACCTTTATGCATTACCGCCAGTCAAATTGATGGCAGGTGGTTCTGTCCAGGGTGTGGGAAAGCAGAACCCGTCTCCTACTTGTAGCCCCATTCTGGCCATCCCAGCCGTAGTTCTCTGAGCTAGTTCCTCTTCTGGAATCCCCTCCCTGGGAGATTCTGGTCAGGGAGGATCTACTGTCCCAGCTTCAAGGCAGGATATGGCATCCTCGCCCCAACATTTGGAAGCTATGTGTATGGCCCATCAGAGACTGCTAGCTTTGAGCTTTGGTCTTCTCGCTGATGTTCAGGAGACCATTGCAAATGCGAGAGCCCTTTCCAGGAGAAGGCTGTATTCCTCCAAGTGGAGGGTTTTTGAGTCATGGTGTTCGACACATGCTAAGGATCCAGTCAGCTGCCTGGTGGGTTCAGAGAGTTCCTACAGGAGAAGTTTGCCTCTGGATTGGCCGCTACCACTCTGAGTGTATACGTTGCTGCTATTGGAGCTCATAGAGAGTGAGATGAGATCCCCCTGGGTAAACTAAGGCAAACTAAGTCTCAGCATTTATGCGCGGGGTTAGTCGCCTGAAACCAGCAAGCTCCCCTGTAGTTCCCTCTTGTGACCTGTCAGTGGACCTGGAGGGAGCCCCTTTAAGCCCTTGGAGTCAGCTCCGGAGCGGATTCTGACTCTCAAGGTTACTCTTTTGTTAGCTTTGACTTCTTTAAAGCGGATTGGGGATTTGCAAGCTCTTTCTGTTAGCTAAACATGTATGGACTTCGCTCCTGGTCTGGTCAAGGTGACTTTAAAACCAAGGCCAGGATATGTGCCCAAAGTATTGTCCACATCATTTCGCTCTCAGGTTGTCAACCTTCACTCTTTCCAACCTCCTCCTTTTGTTTCTGAGGAGGATGAGAAGCTTCATTTACTCTGCCCTGTCCAAGCGTTGAAGTTCTATGTAGATCGCTCTAGTGGTTGGAGAAAATCAAGCCAGCTCTTGATATGTTTCGGTGCTGGCCGCCGCGGGCTTGCCGCATTGAAACAGAGAATTTCCCACTGGGTTACAGAGGCTATTTCACTGGCATATGAGGTGCGCGGTCTGCCTTCACCTCTTAGCATCAGGGCACATTCCACCAGAAGTGTGGCTTCCTCTCAAGCACTTTTTACAGGGGCCCTCCTGGAAGACATTTGTGTAGCGGCAGGCTGGTCCTCTCCGCACACTTTTGTCAGATTCTATAGTTTGGATCTCGACATGGCTCCAGGTTCCCATGTTTTGTCTGCTTGAACCAGTCATGTAAGTTATCTGGTCATTGTACTAGTTACGGCAGCGCTTAGCTTGGCGAGTTTGGTATTTCGTTCCCACTGCGTCTTAGCTACGCAGCGTTGAGTGAATCTATGAAAGAGAACGTCTCTGGTTACTGGTGTAACCTATGTTCTCTGAATAGCGAACAAGACGCTGCGTTCGCTGCCAAGCTCCTCGTGCTGCCGACAAGCTTCCTTTTTCGGCAGAGAAATCTGAGGAGCAGATGGTGCGCGCGCCAATATAATATGACGACGTAAGAGCGTCGATGCGGTGCCCACGCCATCAGCCAATGAATTGGCGTGATCCTATATGGGCTTCAGACAATCGGCACACCCAGAAGGCGTTCCCACTGCGTCTTAGCTACACAGCGTCTCGTTCCCTATTCAGAGAACATAGGTTACACCAGTAACCTTTATGAGACGTTTCTGATGTCACAAACTACCTTGTAGCCAATCAGGTCAACGAGTGATCATCAACCAGTGGATCTCTGAGCTGGTGTGAGTGAGTGGAGGCGGAGCTAATTTACATATTCATAGAACTGCGTAAATGAGGCAATGGTGTAGAGTTATAGGCTATTCAAGCTATTTTAGTAAGAAAATACTACTGTTATTCCCCAACGCATTTTGTCACATGGGCCTTCATGAGGGCTAAACGCTTGCACTTATTTAAATACAAGCAAAAAAAAAATCACATTTTCAAATAACAAATAAGTCAGATAGTATGGCATAAACCAATCACATAACATATCAGGTAAGTGATCACACATCGGGCCAATAGCCTCTGTATTTGTAAGCTTCTAAAGCTTCTCCTAACATTGACCTAAAATATGTTTAAAGTCTCCCTGCAGTCAATAATTTTATCCCTTAAAACTCTTGATCTTTGATCATCAAAATTATATATTTAAACTTGATAACAATTTTCTTCATGCCTTAACATAATTATTGCAAGTATAAAATGCAAGTTTATTGTTTTACAAAAAAGGATCTGATGTTCTGAAATAATCAAAATCTGAAACTGTCACAAATTTCACTAAATATTATATTTTTAAAGCACTGCATTTTGCTTTGTTTTGTATGTTGATTTTGTTTTGTCCATTTTGCCAGAATTTTGAATTCATTTTATCACTCCTTTATTATTGTTCATGTACAGATGAAGATTCCCTGATGATTTGCTGGTAATGCTCTTGTCTGGTTGAATGAACAGATAAAAAGAGCACAGAGAAACTGATGATTTACACAGAGCTGATTATAACAGCAGGTGTTTCCTGTGTGTCAGAATGAACTTCCTGTCCTGAAGAAAATCTCCACAGCTCACTGCATCTGCTAGAAGACAAACTTTAAAATCCATATTCACATGATGTCGTATCTGTCAGGCCATCAGGAGCATTTTGTTTCTCATAGTTTAGATCGTAACTTTACTGTATCAAATAATAGTCATTTTTCATCTGTCATTGAGTCACTATAGTTCATTATCAGTCATGTGATCGTCTTCATATTCAGACGACATTCATCTCTGCTGTGCTCTAAACAAATGATATTTACTAGCAGTAACACTAGTTTAATTTGCTCTTTCCACTGAAGATCTGAGATTTTATTTATTTTAGAATTGAATACATGGTTTATTTGAGTATTTACACAATGATACTTTTATTATTTGTTCTTCCATTGATTGTAGATTTTAGACTTAGTAAGGAAGTAATACATTTTAAATGGTTACATGCTTAATTTATCAAAATCAATAAGAAAACTTTGTTTGTTTAACATGCACTTTATTAAACAGGTTGTAAATCTTACATCATCATTAAAGCCAAAATATTGTATGCAGGTAATGACACAGTTCAGGCTAAGTTACATTCTTGAACTATTTTTAATAGTTTCTATATTCATGATTTCTATTACACTACGTCAGAAGATATTATTTCTCGCTATCATAATCACTCAAACAACACATCAGATTCTGTGAGTTTAGTCGCTGCATTCAGATTTCTTGATGCTTGTGCTGGTGATTTTTGAGGCAACAGACGCTTCACATGTCAGATCTTGGTCTTTGTCCCACACTGAGCTCTCAATGGTTAAATAACTGCTCATCTTGAATTTCTGATCGGGCTGCTGTTCAGCAGAGCCGGTGAAGACGCCTGTAGTAACATAGTTCCCGTTCACAAGCCAGCGCACATCAGCAAAAGCCACAGACATATGATTGATCAGACACACCAGAGTGACTTTACTGGAGCTGGTCAGATCTTCTCTGGATGGACGGAGGATGTTCAGCACAGGAGGATCAACATCAGCATCTACATCAACATCAACACAAATCACCATTAACATGGACAAACATCTGCATCAACACACATCACCATTAACATGGACAAACATCTGCATCTCAGACACACATTTGACACTCTGACTACATTTAAACTTCTAAAATGTCACAGATCACC